AGTTTTTTCTGTCCACGGGTATTAATTCACAGCGAACTTGGAAAGGGAAAAATGGGTCTTTTGTCATATGTAAAGGGGTGCGCTTTGTAATTGTCACGGTAACAGCTTTCGTTTCTGCTCGAATGAATAATTTTGCTTTTAACTTCTTCAACATGCACACTTTAGGCAGTTCTGGAGGGGCCAAGAGACGTTACACCAAGTGTCTTGAAGTCCTCTGCTAGTTTAGATGTTGTCTTTATTTTAATTTTTATGAATTTGTCTAAGTTCTTCAAGATGTTGCATCATCTTGATTTGAACTAGTTTGCATGTAGAACTCTTTGCAGCTTCAGCAGAATGCATGGTTTTAGATGATTGGGATTATAATAATGTATGTCGTTCTATTATGATTGGGTTGTTTTATGGTGGTTGGTATTCTAGCATTTTGTTTTCATCTAAGAAAATAAAAGTAAAATTTCATTGAAATAGTTATGGACTACCTTTTCCTTTTTCAGTTTCTAAACTTTCTCCAAAAAAGTTGGGTTCTTCTGGAACCTCGACCACTGCATTGGTTGCCCTTCTGGGTAGAGTCTCTTATCTGCTTTCTCAAGGGATTGATATCAGGCCCAACCTTGCTGCCATACTGCGCCTAGCCTTTTTAGACTCTATCTTCCTTGGGGGTACATGTTTAGCTTTAATCTCAAGATCCTGGTTCATGAAGCAGGCTACCTCCTTGTTGGTATGTAATACTTGCATTGTTCACTTTAATGTTATTATGGTTTTCTTTTTTAATACAAAATCTGAAATATGAATCCCTGCATTTGGACACTTTTTGCATGGTTTCTGCATGTTTAGCAGTGGCCAAAAGGCTGATGTTCTCTTTAGTGTCTTCTGGTTCTTTGACAACGATCTTGGCATATGACATTGGCTTACGAGCATAACTAATGTTCTTTTACTAATTTATTTGGAGTGTACCTTATGGGTTGCCCAATTCATGGAGTGATTTTAGATCCAATTGCTGCAATGCAGATGGGCATCCAAGGGCAGGTAGTCATTATGAATTTTTTTTAATTACATTTTTCTCTTAAGTATTTTTGTAAAGTAAATCAAACTGCATGCTGTATGCTGTTTGATTCTTAAGCAATATAATCTCTTGTTGACACCTTTAGTTTATGGAAGTTATAAAGGCCCAAACTCAGCATTTTTCTACTGGCTGGAACTCAGTTTTGGGATGAGAAAATGAGTAATGAGCTGGCTGAAGGACGATTGAGTGGCTCTACCTTTGACAGGTTGGTATCACTAGGTGGTGTCTCTGATGTTTGATGCTGCCTAAAGATTTAGATATTCTTGCCTTAAATGCAAGCTTAGCATCCAAATTATATTTATTTCATTTACTATTTGAAAAATTGGTAGATTTACAAATTGTTATTCATCATGTATTTGACGGTCAGTTTTTGGAAATACTGACTACAAACTCCAAGAAAGTTTCCCGACCTAAATTCTTGTTTCTAATTCTCGTTCCTTCTAGGTCTTTCTTTTTTTCAATCTCTTTTTCAACATCTTCTTCTATTACAATCAATCTATTTGTTCTTTACTAGTGCTGCATCAGGTCATGAGGTCTATAATTCCATTAGTTTCTAATTATGATCACTGATATTTCAAGTGGAATAAATCTGTCTAAACAGGAGTTAAAATAAACTATTCTTCTAGGCACTCTGCAGAAGTGCATTGCATGTTCTTCTCTCTTAAGGCTGTTAGTAAATATGTCATTAGCAAAAATGCATATCAGGAATATTTTTCTACTAGTATTGATTATACCGATGCATGATTATATGATCAGGTGCTGCATGGTGCTTTTTGCTGGTATTGCTGCTGAAGCTCTGGTATATGGTGAGGCTGAGGCTGGAGAGAATGATGAAAACATGTTTCGCAGCATCTGTGTCCTTTTGCCATTGTCTGTAGCTCAGGTACATCTGCAACTATCTATTTTCATGCCTTTACTCCATTAATAGGTACTAATTATTCTCACCTAGAGAGAGAAAAGATGCTAATTACTGGTTTTCATTACCATGAGAAGATTTCAAATCAAGCTAGGTGGTCTGTTCTACAGTCTTTCAACGTGCTTAAATGGCACAGGCATGGTCATTGAGCTGCTGTCAGAGCTTTGGAAAGTGGTGGTAGTCTTAGTATTGTAATTAGGAGGATTGAGTAAGCCATGTCTTCTGGCAGATGATGTGCAGAAGTACATAAACATGCTGGTTTCTGTGGCCCAATGGAGTTCAAGAGTTAGATGTTCTGTATGCACCTATAGGAAGGCTTAGATAACCATCGTCTGTTCTTGTATGGCTGGGCATGGTGAACTGAGGCATGGAAGTTCTGAAGCGTTCCTCTGATTATTGTTCTCTACTCTTTTCCGTACTAAATATTAATTGCATGTGTAATCAATTATGAGAAATATTTTCCTCAAATGATAGGTTTCTAAGAAGGAGAATGAATGACTCAACTTTTTTGACGTTCCCAAGATTATGTCCTAACAGGCCACAGTGGGCGGAGGGCACATCAAGGAAGTAACAAATTTTGGTATCCAGCTGACCATTTTTGACATATGTAGTCTAAAGAGATGGTTCCTCTTGGTATCTCTGCTGCATTTAGACCACAAATGTGAGCGAAGTTTCTCGTGTTCTCATCTTTTTGTAAACATTTTAGGATCAGAGTGCTATTTTTTCCAACGCTGTTTTGGTTGGATGAATGTTAGGAATTTTGAGCCATGGCCCCTTGATTGAACCCCTAACTAATTTGATTCTGGTTTAAGCTTTTGTCCCAATCAAGCTGCCTCCACATTCTCTTTGAACAAAAGACCACAACGTTTTGTACATGCACTTTATTTGTGAAAGTTGTCATTTTTTGGCTAAATTTGTATATGTTGTCATTATTTTCCAATGAATGACATTTGGTGGGATTGACGTAGATGCATGTTTTAGTGTGATGGAACTTTAGAAGGAAACTTCAATATCATAGTTTGCATTAAGATCATTTGAATCTAAAGCTACCCCATGAACACTTATTTTCTCTTACAATTCTAATTACCAGTCACTCGAGTCTTGACTCTACAGAGATAAATGATTGTTTTGGAAAACTAACAAAAGTTGTCTAGAACAAAGTAGTAACAAGAAGTGATGCAGACTTCAATGAAGTAAAACCATTTCCGTCTCCAATAAGGATTTATGTGTAGAACTGCTGTGATTGCCATCAAGGTTGCAACATAAGCCACCACAAAGCTCCAGCAGAAAACAGCCATGTCAATAAAACCATTGTTTTCCCTGTCATAATTGGAGACATTGGTCACTAATGATGATTCAATTTTGGTGCAATTGATCTGCAGTGGAGCTCCACAGAGAAAAGGATTTCCTTCATAGCTACGTTCATCAAAGGTCCCAAACTGAGCTTTTTGATCAGGGATTGGTCCTGATAAGTTATTGTGTGCAACAAAAAACACAGCTAAGTTGTTTAGCTCAGTCAACTGAGGGGAAATTCTCCCATTCAAATTGTTATAAGAGAGGTCCAAACTTTCAATCTGCTTAAGGTTTGAAAATGTAGAGGGAATTGGTCCTATTAGCTTGTTATGTGACAAGTTTAGTGCATGGATCTCATTCAAGTATCCAATTTCAAGTGGGATCCTTCCCGTGAGCTGGTTGCAAGATAAATCAATACCTGACATGTAACGAAGGATGCTTCCATTGTAAACATATGACATGCTCTTTGTTGTAAACTCTACCCAATCCTCCACTTCAATAATCTCATTTCTCTGTGGCATGAAGGCATAGTAATTCTTTAGCAGCTTTTCCCCCCCTATGTTTGACAATGAATATACCGTTGAGTCATAGTACTGACCCCCTGTCCCAAAATCAGCCTGAAGTTGAGAAATTGATGCCTCAAATTCAAATGTTAAATTTCTCAAACAGAAAGGTATAGAACCAGAAAGATTATTTTGAGAAAGATCCATTATCTTTAATCTATTCAAATGACAAAGCTGGAAAGGAATTTCACCTTCAAAATGGTTAGCTTTCAACAAAAGAATGCTCAATGAAGGTAGGCTACCAATCCAACTAGGAATTGTACCAGTTAGATTGTTCCTTGTAAGGTCCAGTGACTTTAGATCAGAGCTGTTGTAGAATGCTTTTGTCAATGGCCCAGTAAATCTATTGTTGCTCAGATGAACATGGTTTATATAAAGTGGATTAAAGCATTCAGGGATAGAGCCATACAAGTTGTTTTTTGAGAGGTCAAGAAAAGAAAGGCTATTAAGGCCACAAAATTCTATTGGAAATGGACCTTCAAAAAGATTTTTGGACAAAGATAGCCCATTTAGTGATGAGATATTTCCCATCCATCTTGGAAGCTTGCCTAAGAAATGGTTGTTGCTTATGTCTATTACCCAAGGAGAAAAAGAGTTGATAGATGAAAACTCAGATATCTCTCCTGTAAAGTTATTGTTGCTAAGTTGTAAGACTAATAAATCTGTTGAGTTGAAAAGAAGAGGAAATACATGCCCTTGTAAATTATTGCTTGATAGTATGAGAAATTCTAAGGGGCAACCTAGGACTAGTAGTTCTGGTATTCCTCCAGACAGCCAATTGTTGGACAAGTCTAAATGGAATAAAAAGTTCAAACGGCCAAAGGAATCAGGGATACTACCAGAGAATTGATTGTTTGGCAAGCTTAAATATTCTAATGATTTCATATCACCAAAAGAAGCAGGAATATGACCTTGAAAGGAATTTTTGGACATGATTAAGTATGTAAGATAAGGAAAGATTGAACTCATGTTTATAGGAATTTTTCCCAATAAACCATTCATTGTTACATCTAAGATTGAAATTTTGAAATGAGGTTGTGATGGCAACTGCAAAGGTCCTGATATGGAGTTATATCCTAGCATGAGTGCTTTTAATTGTGTATTGTTCATGAACAACCAAGATGGGAATCCTCCAGTGATGTTATTGTGGGAGAGATCAACAAACCCAAGGACATTTTGGTGATGGAGGAAGCAGGGAGGTTCTTTTAATGCAAGGTAAGACAAACTCAAAAATATGAGTTGGAACTTTGGAGTTGGAGTATGAAGGAGAGGTTCTGGCATTAAATTGTTGTCATCGCCAAGAAGGACCTTAAGCTTGGAGTGGTTGGCAAACATCCCAAAGGAAACTGGGACTTGAAAATTGTTTCTTGAAAATGAGAGATATTCAAGTGATTTTAGATTGGTAAGAGGGCTAGTGGCAATATTTCCTATGAAATGGTTATATGATATATCCATCACTAGAAGATATGATAAGTTTCCCAAACAGGAGGGAAGCATTCCTTGAAAATTATTTTCACTTAAATCTAACTCTTCAAGGTTCTTCAGTTTACACCATCCTGTAAATATCAATTATCAAGGAAGGAAAAAAAATGAAATTACTAACACAAGAAACAATAAGAAACAAAGAAATGAGGAATTGTTACATCAAATCATAATTCTAAATTTCTTATGAGAAGATTATATATATAATTTTTTTTGGGTTAGTGAGAAGATTATATGTTTTACCTTGATTGGGCAGAGTTCCATTGAGCTCGCAGAAGGACACAGACAAAACTTTAAGAGAGCTTAGTGTTCCAATGCTTTGGAGAAAATTATTGTGAAGAGAAGATTCGTCCAAAAGCAATACTTCCAACTCCTTAAAAGCGTGACTATCTAAAAATTAAGTATTTAATTATTATTAGCAACTTGGATAAATTAAGATAATGTATAATAGAAAAACTAAAATATAAATAAGCATATCCTATTCTTTTTTTTTTCTTTTCTCGTTTTGCCTATCTGCATTACTCACCTACAACAGTCACTGGTTCTATAGATGTACTAAAAGTAAGATCAAGGGTCTTAATTAAAGGGAATGCCTTGATTGACCGTATTAGACAGCTCCCACAAGTGTTGTTGTTCTCACTTAGATATAGGACTTCTAGCATACTCGAACTTCTCGTATCTACAAGCAAAAAAGGGGATCAAGATAAGCTTTAAAGCTGCAGAGATGTGAACCTGGAGCAAACTTGTGATCTTTTGAAAACAACATATGCTCCATAGTAGCCAATGTAAACATAGCCTTAAAAGTTCTACTTGAGCTTGAGCAAAATTTTTCTCTATTGATGGATAAGTAATTTACAATTCAATAATAAATTTTACTAGTATGAAACTAATGGATTAAGTGTTCTAATTCTTTTATGGATTTATTGATGAAAGGAGCAAGATGACCAGGCCTCATTATAACCAACTTTCTAGTTTGATCATGTGTACCTTTAGGAGCCACAAAACTTTCCACTTCATTATAGCTTAAATCCAGCTCCTTCAAATTGTTTAGAGCAACTAATTCTGGTGGGGACAAAATACAAATAGTCAAATAAAAATGAGGAAAAAGAAGCAGCATTTAATTAGAAGGATATTTAATGATAGATGAAAGTAGAAAACAAGTAAAATAATTGATCTACCTTTAATATTTAGTATTCCTTTTAATTTGTTCCCACTCAAATCAAGACTCTTGAGAGATGAAAGCCCTCTTAGGGAAGATAAAGTTGTGTTACTAAAATAATTATTGTATAGATGAAGCACTTCCAAATTACTTAGGCCCAATGGTCTTTTAATACCTGCAACAAGGGTTTATTGTTTCATCAAAAAATTTATGAGTATGAAACTAATGGATCAAGTTTTCTAATTCTTTTAGGGTATTTGTTGATGAAAGGAATAGAATGATAGGGCCACATCATAACCGTACATTCTCCTTTTACCTTTTGGAGCCACGAAACTTTCCACATTATTGTTGCCTAAATCTAGCTCCTTCAACTTGTTTAAACCAACTAATTCTGGCAGTCACAAAAACAAAATGAAATCAGTTAAATTACAATGAAGGAAAAGAAATAGGATTTCATTAGAAGTATATAAAATGATTGATGAAAACAAAAAATAAGTGAAACAATTGATCTACCTTCAACATTTAGCACTCCTTTTAAGTTGTTCTTACTCAAATCAAGAATCTTGAGAGATGGAAGCCCTCTTAAGGAAGATAAAGTTGTGTTACTGAAAGAATTATTGTACAGATGAAGCACTTCTAAATTACTTAGGCCCAGTGGTCTTTTAACGCCTACAAAAGGGTTCATTGTTTCATCAAAAAATTATTGAGTATGAAACTAATAGATCAAGCTTTCTAATTCTTTTAGGATATTTCTTGATGAAATGAAGAGAATGATGGGGCCTCATCATAAACACATTTCTACTTTCATTAGTACCTTTGGGAGCCACAAAACTTTCCACATTATTGTAGCTTAAATCAAGCTCCTTCAACTCATTTAAACCAACTAATTCTGGTAGTCACAAAGACACAATGAAATCAATTAAATTCCAACGACGAAAAAAAAGGATTTCATTAGAAGGATATACATTGATTGATGTAAACAAAAAATAAGTGAAAAAATTGATCTACCTTTAATATTTAGTATTCCTTTTAATTTGTTCGAACGCAAATGGAGACTCCTGAGAGATGAAAGCCCTTTTAGGGAAGATAAAATCATGTTGTTGAAAGAATTATCACTCAAATCAAGCACTTCCAAATTACTTAGTACCAATGGTCTTTTAACACCTACACATAGGATTTGTGAGTAATAAGCATTCTTTGTGCATTTACAAGTAATTAATGAGTAGCTTCAAGTCCCTTAAGAAACGTAATGATGTTAAAATTGGATATTATGCCTCATTTCTTAAAGTGTATCAGATTAATTGGTTATGTTATGTAAAAGATTACCCAGAACATGGAGACTTCCTTCCATTTGATTGCCTGCTAGATTTAACACTTTTAAGGATGAAAGACTTGCCAAAGATGATGATAGGATGCTATTGTTTAATTGATTATTACTCAAATCAAGAACCTCCAAATTGCTTAAGCTTGACAACTTTTCTAGACCTGTGCAAGAAATTAATATAGTTAGTTGTGTTGCTAAACCAAAAATTTTAATATCATACATCCCACAAAATGAATAACTAAAATTGTTGCTCGAGTAGAAAGAAAGGAATGACCTTCATTCTTCATGAAGCCAAAAATGCTATTGCCCGTCAAGAAAAGACTCTTCAACTCTTCCAAGGGTGAAAACAAAGAAGAATTCATATACCAACCCTCAACATCCCAACCCCTAGTATAATTAAGAGATAGCTGAAACACTCTCTTTGTTGTGATGTTGCATTCAATCCCAACCCAATTACAACAATCACCATGCCCACCCCAAGATGCTAGAACATAGTCGGTTGGGGGAGGGATTGAATGTTTGAGGTTTAAGAGGGCAATTCTCTCTTCCTCCAAACACCCACAACAACAAGAACAATACCATCCACTTACCAAAACCAACAATACAATTGCTCGAACCCATTTTTCCTCCATTTTTTGTTCTTTGTTTTTTTGGCTTGAAGCAATGTCGCTCCCTTTTCTTCTTATAATGGAGTTTCAAT